TTGATCTTCCTTTTACTTTTCGTGGTTAATTGGTAAATACTATTTGAATATCTAACTACTGTTTTTCTTTTGGTTCATTGCATGCTCACTGATTTTGTTAATTAATTAGGGTTTCATTTTCATCCTTCGAGCTTGAAAAGGGTTTTATTCGAATATGTTATTGTCTCCACTTTACGTGTTATCTTGACACATCTCTCCCATTGAGCTGCCCCGATTCTTTACATCGAGCGTAGGGTTTTTATGATTTTATTCAAGTTGTTAATGAATTATTCAATACTCCAAGCCTCCAAGGAGTATATCATCACACAACGTGTTACTTCATGCACGTCGTCAAACAGTAAGATAGAATACTTAAGAAATCATCAATTTATATATATGTATATATATATCTTTATTAGTATAATTTATAAGTAATTGGGAGGTGTTGTTTCAGTATATCAAGTACGAATTAGAGATTTGTGCTACGTCTAGGAAAATACAACAAATGTTTTGTAAATCTCTTACAGATATTATCAAATGTTATTACTATGTACAGACTAATATTATTATTATTTTTGACGACGGCTAGTGTTTTCTCTCAGCAAACTATCTCTGATTACAGTACAAAGAAACTTATAGTAAGGAAAAGAAACTATTATTATGTATTGATTATGATTATTCGTTCTTTACCAGTAAATTTCACGTTTTGTATATATTTTTGGGAATTTTTTTTACCACAAGTTTTCTACCACTTTTCAAATTTATCCTTAAATGATAATCATTTTCATAAATATATTAAATTCATAATAAAAGATTAACTTAACTCTCTTAACTTATTTATAAATGTTTTTAAATAATTTTCTAAATTATTTACAGAAATTTATAAACGTAACTTCACTATTTAAATACTACTCTAAATAATAGTTACTAAAATACTAATCTCATATGTTATAATATTTTTGATTAATTATATTTTTGAAAATTGGTAACTAACTTATAGATAGAGTATTTTAAATAATTTCTCATATTTTAATATCGTTGGTCCAAGATGGTAGGTCAAAACTATCATAACACTCTCAGAAATTAAATTTGGAAATTTATCACACTTTTCTGTAGATTTCTCCAATTAGGAAGAAAAGTACAGAAGAGTACCACGATCTTGGTTACTGAACCCGTGAATCCAGAATAAAATGTTAAGAAAGCTGAAACTTCTCAAGGATAAAAGGAGAGTTGTTGTACCCAATGAGCCACTTGTAGGTATGCATTAATATTTATAGAGAGCGAAAAACTATGATTAGAAAATTGATAACTGCAAGTGTCGTAACACGTATAACCGAACTTCTGTCCACTTGAAAGACCATATATGTACAGTGAATCTATATTATATATATTAAAAATACGTGAAAACAAAAGAAACAAAAAAGCAATGAAGCAGAGGGAAGGGGTCGATGTTTCGGACCACAAACTAAAACCAAGAAAGCTGTATTAATCAAATTTGGACTCTCCAACTGTTTCAACTGACTCACAACTAGGCTTCTCTGCTTCTATAATTTAGTAATTTACCTACACATTTTTGTCCTAATCACTAACTTTCTCTAAATTTAAGATTTAAAGGTTCGATTTTACAGGTGTCCATTTTCTTTTAAGAACACTACAATTTAAAACCTATTATTATACTAAATCATTTATATTTACCACGATCTTAAGTAAGCTAAAGTGAATGTTAATGTGTATTGAAAATGATTTATTACTATTTTTTTTTCTTGTGATCAATATTAGTAAGTGGTTAAGATCTCATTTTTAGTGAGTTGGTATCGTACGTGGTCCATATTAAAAAGTAAATAGATCATTTTTCGTATAAAGCTAGAGGTTAGCAATTAATTAAATCAGCAATGTTGCAGCTGTACCCTGTAGGTTAAAATAAATGAAATAAGAAATAATTTAAAAACTTTTTTGTACAGGTCCAAGTTGCCGTCGTAGCCCCATTACCTCAAAATTAAATTTACAAATTTACTTCCTAACTATCCTTTGAATCCATAGTAAACATCTGGCCAAGTTTTAGAATTCCGTTAACAGAAATATATATATATATTCATCTTTTTTTTTTCCAAGAGAATTTAAATTTATTCATCTTAAAATACATTTTACATAAAAAACATTTTTACAATAGCTGCATCATGTATCTAAGTACGAAAGAACTGAAATGTCTTTGAAAGTTCAAGTTCTTGGTATCGTAAGCAAAATAACAGAACGATATTAGTAAACTCCAAAATGCATGCAGCATGCCCACACACAGTTGCGTACAAAATCTTACGAAAACAGTAGTATAATTTGTCTCCATGTATAACCTCATATATTACATATACAATGTATGAAAATCTAGAAAGAAAATAAAATCTCGCGTTCTTAGAAAGAAAAATGAACTAGTATACGAGACTGAGAGACAAAAACGGTGGTAAGCCGTGACGGGTTTGTTGTTTCTGCAATAACAACGAGCCTGATCGATGAACAGTTGCCAAAAGAGCAGCTTGTGGTCGTGGATGAGGCTTCAGAATATGGACAGGTTGTAAATAAGGAGATCGATAAGGACTTAATGGTGTCTCGCTCGTACAAGGACAGTACTAGAACTCGTCACGGCTTCTCGGGATTAATATCTTCGATTCATTTAACAAATGCACATGCCAGCCTTATATATTTTCTTGGATTTTTATGGTTTGTAAAATCGTCTTCATCGTCAAATCTATTAATTCACCGCATTTTTTCGACCGACATAAAATTATTATTTGGCTTTTAGCAAAATAAATAGGTAAATTGTTATATGAAAATGCATTGAAATGTGACTATGGTGAAGGTTCCTAACGAACTGCGAATCTCTTCTTAGAATGAAACCAATCTTCACATGTTCCATTCCATCAACGAGATTGGTCACATGAAAACTGAAACTTATTTGTTTTTTTCAATTTTAGAAACTATTCTAATTCTGCTAGGTCCCACAACAGCGAAGTAGTTGGCACAAACTGATTACACAAAGGACCATTATGTTTATTTTAAAGCGAATTTACAAAACACAACTAACCATAAATCAATTTTGGCCATTTTTGTTGCAATGCGACTTAGACTACCAAAGAGAATTTTATATGTTCAAAATTGATTTATGGTTATTAAAACGAAAATTGACTAAAAATAAAATATAACAGTCCAAAAATGTATTTTATAACAAGTAACAAGTTTTTACTAACTAATAGTCTAATACATAAACTACCCAAACGGTTCTCCTTATTATTAACCACCCTATCCTACAATGTTCGGTTTTGTCATGAATTAAAGTAGGTGGTACATACACATGAATTCATTTTCCCCCTTCAACAACTATATGAGATACTATTGTATGTCTAAACCACACAATATTGATGTGTTATATATATATATATTCTATCCTTTTGGAATTTATTGACGCATAGAAAAGAGATACATATTTAGGCTATAGGGTTTTTGCTTACCTACACTAAGCCCATTTGATACTAACTCAAAGTTGGAACTAGATGATTACTAAAGATTTACACCAGTTGATATCACAAATCCGTTGTAGTCTAGCTGGTTAGGATACTCGGCTCTCACCCGAGAGACCCGGGTTCGAGTCCCGGCAACGGAGGTATTTTTTTATTTCTTATATGTGCGGCGCCAACTTCACTATAGCTCAACCCACGTAAGAAGTCCAGCCCAAAAACAAATTCTATGTAAGGGACATCTGAACTAGTTTCTCACCGTGATGCTCATAGAAGAGAGCGTGAGACACATTGTGCTTTCAGGCCTTTTATTTCTGTCTCGAGCCTTTGTGTAGTAGCTATGTCACAACTGTGGTGGCCCTGTCTTGTATATAATATGTTGGAATAGATTATGCAGAGCTCTACGTTTTCAGAATCCAATTCTATTACAGAACATTGCTTATCAATCTTGAGTAATTGAAAAGGTTTGGTTTAAGTTGTGTATGCAAGTAAATGTCTTTTGTAAGTAAACTCTTAAAGAGTTGGTTGTATATATATTACACAATTCGATAAAGATAAAATTGATTATACAAAATGAATACTCTTTAGTGGGATGTAAATGGTGGACCACTTTCATCTCGAAGTAGATGCAATAAAAATGGATAACTTGGAAGGTAAGTGTAAATAATTACCGTACCAAATACTCCACAAATACCAACTTGCAAAAAAGTTTGACAAAAAAAAAGAAGAAGAAGAAAGATGTTCATTGTAGGAGAAGACTTGGACTTGGAGTGTTGATTGGTGGCTACCACCACTAGTAGTGCTACCTAAGGGATCTCCCGTCTTTTTCGTAGTGCATATAGTCACTTAATAATTAGTTTTGTTGGTTAGTTAGGAAGAGTTTGAGCATAGGTTTTAGTTTCTCTCTAGCCCGAAACCAACATGTACTAATATGAAACAACACAATCAGAAATACAACATCAAATATTTCTTCTATATGAATTCGAACTAGTACAATATACAGCATGACCAACTTCTATGCTTAAATCGCTAGCTTGCCTTATTGGTGGTCACTTCATAATTTAATTAGTCAGGCAATACGTTTACAATACAACTAATAACATAAAGCTAGCTATTAAGTATATATATAGTCTGTAAAGCTAGCTAATGTGTCTCAATAATTTAAAAATGGATTACATATATAGTCTGTAAGTATTAAGTAATAATTCCATTAGCAGTAATAAACTCTAATAAGAGCTAAAAGCACCTCCGATATATGTATGTAAATCGTGTTGTCCAAAAAAAAAAAAACTAATTATGTAAATCTTCATAAAACAGATAATAAGTTGACAAAAACATAATTATGAGCCTCTTCTTTTCTTCATCTTCAGGACAAAACAAACTTTCTTGGTGGGACAAAAACATTCTTGGTAGGACCAAATCTACCTGTCAGTGAGAAGTTTTTTTTTTTCATTTTGAGGGAAAAAAACGAAATGAACTATAAAGGGATGAGCAAAGCGAAGAAGCTATCACATCAAATCAAAGAAAACAAGTCTAGATATACAAACTTTGTGGAGACTCAAGAAAAATGGAGACAAGTTCGTTATTGGTGGCTACCTTTTTCCTCGTACTGATCTTTCAAACTAACAAACTAGAGAGTGGGCATGTCCGTTACACTGATCAAGGCAGGGTCAAGAACATCAACAATAACACTGATAAAAGCAACACAACCACCAAAATAGTTCTCAAGGACATGAAAACACCAAGTCACGGTGGAGGAAGCAATAGCTATAGATGGGGAGGTGGCGGCGGTGGAGGTGGTGGGGGTGGAGGTGGTGGCGGTGGTGGTGGTGGTGGAGGAGGAGGTGGTGGTGGTGGTGGAGGAGGAGGAGGTGGTGGAGGCGGATGGGGATGGGGAGGAGGAGGAGGAGGTGGTGGTAGAGGATGGTACAAATGGGCTTGCAGCCGGGGAGGAGGAAGAGAAGGAAGAGGAGAATTTGTGAAAAGAGAATATGCAGAGTGCAAAGGAAAAGGGAAATGTAGAGGAAAGAGATTGGAATGTCCTCAACATTGTGGAGGTTTCTGTTTTTACGATTGTCTCTTTCTCTGCAAACCGCATTGCCTTCGCTAAAGACTGAGAGATATAGCTATCCATATATATTCCTTGTTGTACCCTTACTTCTTAGGGATTCTTCTTTACAAATCTTTCCAAGTTTCTTGAGTGCCGAAAACAAAAAAATTGTACTTTTTAAACAAACCTAAAGAGGTATATATATAACACTTATCGAAAAACTTTTTTTTTTAGGGATTAACCCATATATTTCAAGATAAATTAGAAAATATGATATTTTTGTTTTAATAAATTTATGCATCATGCACCGACATTGTATGGAAAATAAAGATGATTGAGACCTTAGATGTTCTAGTTTCTCAAAAAAATAGAGTTTTTATAGGGGTTGGTCCATTTATTAGGTTGCATATGAAGTTTAAAAAAATTACGCCCTGAAAAATTAGAAATGATGCCCATATACCATGAAAACAAGTTTAACACACATATATAAAAATTTGAAGTGTGGTAAGGTATTTTTAAACAACACTAAAGAGGCTAAATATTATAGATAGTAATTATCGGAAAATTTAATCTTTCCATAGGGATTAATCCACATATTTCAAGATAAATTAGAAAATTGGATTTTTTTTTTTAAAAATGCATAGCTACATCATGAACTGATATAGTATGAAGATTAAAGATGTTTGAGATCTTAGGCGTTCCAATTTCTCTAGAAAATGGAAATGATGCCAATTTACCATGAAAATAGTTTTAGCATACATTAGTATGCATTAAAGTGTGGTTAGGTATTTAAAAAAAATATTAATGAGGTTAAACTTTAGTACATATATATAACATTTATTGGAAAAATCTCGATCTTTTCGTAAAATAAATTAAAAAATAAAGTATTATGTTTTAATGCATAACTTCATTATGAAAGGACATGTGATAAAAGTTAAAGAAGTCTCAGATCTTATTTGTCCTCATTTCTCCAGAATTTCTAGATTTTATAGGGGTTAATTCACTGAATTAGTGGAATACGAAGTTTTATTAAATTACTCATTAAAATATAGAACGATGTCCATATACCATGAAAATAAATTGAACATACATTAATAAAGAATTATAATGTGATTAGGTATTTTTAATCCACATGAAAGAGTTTAAACTTCAGTATATAGTATTTATCGAAAAACTCATAGATGCGGTACTTTTATAGGGGCTAGTCCACTTATTAGATGGTATATGAATTTTAAATAAATTACCTATTAAAAAATTAGAAATGATGCCTATCTACCATGAAAATAACTTTACCATACATATATATAAATTTAGGGTGTGATTAGTTATTTTAAATAACACTAAAAAGATTAAATATTATAGATAGAATTTATCAGAAAATTCAGTGTATTCGTAGGGGTTAGCCCACATATTTCAAGATAAATATGAAAAAATAATATTTTTGTTTTTTTGCATAGATGCATCATGAACTGACATAGTCTGAATATTAAAGAGGTTTAAGACGTTAGATGTTTCCGTTTCTCTAAAAAAATAGAGATTTTATAAAGGTTAATCCACTTACTAGGGGGTGTATGAAGTTTAAATAAATTACTTAATCAAAAACTAGAACTGATGCCCATCTACCATGAAAATAAGTTTAACATACATATATATAAATTTAGGGTGTGATTCGTTATTTTTAAATAACACCAAAGAGATTAGTTATAAAAGATAGCATTTATTAGAAAATTCAATATTTTAGTAGGGGTTAGCCCACATATTTGAAGATAAATATGAAAAAATAATATTTTTTTTTATTGCGTAGATGCATCATGCACTGAAATAATATGAATATTAAAGAGGTTTAAGGCCTTAATTGTTTCAATTTCACTTAAAAAATAGAGATTTTATAGCGGTTAGTCCACTTATTAGGTGGTATATGAAGTTTGAATAAATTACTTATTGAGAAATTAGAACAGATGCCCATCTACTATGAAAACAAGTTTAACATACATACATATATAAATTTAGTGTGTGATTAGTTATTTTTAAATAACACTAAAGAGACTAAATATTATAGATAACATTTATCAGAAAATTCAATATTTTTGTAGGAGTTGCCAACATATTGCAAGATAAATATGAAATAAAAATATTATTGTTTTAATGCATAGATGCATCATGAACTGACATATTATGAATATTCAAGAGGTTTAAGATGTTAGATATTTCTGTTTCTCTAAAAAAATAGATATTTTATAGGGGTTAGTCCACTTACTAGGGGTATATGAAGTTTAAATAAATTACATAATCAAAAACTAGAACTGATGCCTATCTACCATGAAAATAAGTTTAACATAATTATATATAAATTTTGGGTGTGATTATTTATTTTTAAATAACACTAAAGAGATTAAATATAAAAGATAGCATTTATCAGAAAATTCAATATTTTCGTAAGGGGTAGCCAACATATTTGAAGATAAATATGAAAAAATAATATTTTTGTTTTATTGCGAAGATGCATCATGCACTGAAATAATATGAATAATAAAGAGGTTAAGACCTTAATTGTTTCCATTTCTCTAAAAAATAGAGATTTTATAGCGGTTAGTCCACTTATTAGGTGGTATATGAAGTATAAATAATTTATTTATTGAAAAACTAGAACTGACGCCCATCTACCATGAAAATAAGTTTAACATACATATATATAAATTTAGGGTGTGATTAGTTATTTTTAAATAACACTACAGAGATTAAATATTATAGATAGCATTTATAAACAAATTCAGTATTTTCGTAGGGGTTGGCCCACATATTTCAAAATAAATATGGAAAAAAATACTTTTGTTTTATTGCGTCGATGCATCATGAACTGACATAGTATGGATATTAAAGAGGTTTAAGATGTTATATGTTTCCGTTTCTCTAAAAAATAAATATTTTATAGGGGTTAGTCCACTTACTTGGTGATATATGAAGTTTAAATAAATTACTTATTGAAAAATTAAATATGAAAAAATAATATTTTGTTTTATTGCGTAGATGCATCATTCACTGAAATAATATGAATATAAAAGAGATTTAAGACCTTAATTGTTTTCATTTCTCTAAAAAAAATAGAGATTTTATAGCGGTTAGTCAACTTATTAGGTGGTATATGAAGATTGAATAAATTACTTATCGGAAAATTAGAACTGATGCCCATCTACCATGAAAATAAGTTTAACATACATATATATAAATTTAGGGTGTTATTTGTTATTTTTAAATAACACTAAAGAGATTAAATATTATAGATATCATTTATCAGAAAATTCAGTATTTTCGTAGGGGTTGGCCCACATATTTCAAAATAAATATGGAAAAAAATACTTTTGTTTTATTGCATATGTGCATCATGAACTGACATAGTATGAATATAAAAGAGGTTTAAGATGTTAGATGTTTCCATTTCTCTAAAAACAATAGAAATTTTATAGGAATTAGTCCACATATTAGATGGTATATGAATTTTAAATAAATTACCTATTAAAAAATTAGAAATGAAACCCATCTACCATGAAAATAAGTTTACCATACATATATAAATAAATTTAGGGTGTTATTAGTTATTTTTAAATAACACTAAAGAGATTAAATATCAAAGATAGCATTTATCAGAAAATTCAGTATTTCCGTAGGGGTTGACCCACATATTTCAACATAAATATGAAAAAAGTATTTTTGTTTTAATGCATAGATGCATCATGAACTGACATAGTATGAATATTAAAGAGGTTTAAGATGTTAGATGTTTCTGTTTCTCTAAAAAATAGATATTTTATAGGGGTTTGTCCACTTACTAGGGGGTATATGAAGTTTAAATAAATTACTTAATCAAAACTAGAACTGATGCCCATCCACCATGAAATTAAGTTTAACATACATATATATAAATTTAGGGTGTGATTAGTTATTTTTAAATAACACCAAAGAGATTAATTATAAAAGATAGCATTTATTTGAAAATTCAATATTTTCGTAGGGGTTAGCCCTCATATTTGAAAATAAGTATGAAAAAGTAATATTTCGTTTTATTGCTTGGATGCATCATGCACTGATATATTATGAATATTAAAGAGGTTTAAGACCGTAATTGTTTCCATTTCTCTAAAAAAATAGAGATTTTATAGCGGTTAGTCCACTTATTAGGTGGTATACGAAGTTTGAATAAATTACTTATTGAAAAATTAGAACTGATGCCCATCTATGATGGAAATAAGTTTAACATACATATATATAAATTTAGGGTGTGATTAGTTATTTTTAAATAACACTGAAGATATTAAATATTATAGATAGCATTTATTAGAAAATTCAGTATTTTCGTAAGGGTTGGCCCACATATTTCAAGATAAATATGAAAAAAAAATATTTTTGTTTTAATGCATATATGCATCATGGACTGACATAGTAAGAATATTAAAGAGGTTTAAAATGTTATATGTTTCCATTTCTCTAAAAAAAATAGAAATTTTATAGGAATTAGTCCACATATTAGATGGTATATGAATTTTAAATACATTACCTATTAAAAAATTAGAAATGATGCCCATCTACCATGAAAATAAGTTTACTATACATATATATAAATTTGGGGTGTGAACAGTTATTTTTAAATAACACTAAAGAGATTAAATATTATAGATAAAATTTATCAGAAAATTCAGTGTTTTCGTAGGGGTTAGCCTACATATTTCAAGATAAATATGAAAAAATAATATTTTTGTTTTATTGCATAGATGCATCATGAACTGACATATTATGAATATTAAAGAGATTTAAGATGTTAGATGTTTCTGTTTCTCTAAAAAATAGAGATTTTATAGGGGTTACTCCACTTACTAGGGGGTGTATGAAGTTTAAATAAATTACTTAATCAAAAATTATAATTGATGCCCATCTACCATGGAAATAAGTTTAACATACATATATATAAATTTAGGGTGTGATTAAGTATTTTTAAATAACACTAAAGAGATTAAATACAAAAGATAGGATTTATCAGAAATTCAATATTTTCGTAGGGGTTAGCT